AATTATTAAATGCTGTTCAGAACAATATCTCTCAATTTGGACAAGTACTCGTTTGACGATCAGATACAAAATAACTTAATGTCGATCATTTCAATGTTAAAAAATCATCATAATCAATCATCAGCTGTTGAGAGGTTAATGTTCAAACTATATTACTATAAACAAAACTATATATCTTAAATTTGATAACTAATGGGGCCTGTGCCATGCATGGCTTGTGGTGTATGTTATTGTCTTCAAGGCCAATCACTGTGTTTTACATCTCACCACATCTAGATTATTATTCCCATTAAACAGAACATTACATTTTGTTCAATGTTCAATACAATTCAATTCATAATAAGAGTTTAATTATTAGTTTTGGTTGATCATGAATTTTGAAGCTGATAGAAACACAGAAAATTTGGTTGAAGACTTGTATGATCGACATCTTCTACAGGAGTACCAGTGATGTAGTAGTTTTGCAATATGGTTAAATTTTATTTGATAATGTGAGATACTAACTCAGATCAGGGCAATTTTTTCATCTGTTTTGCATTTGTAAGCAAAGATTTAAGCATGTACACAATGTGATGAACAATCAGCTGAATTGGAAATATGGGAGATAACATAATACTGGGGCCATGACACAACATCTGGATATGGTGTGTTGTAATACTGGCTAGGACATTATGTAAAGGCTTACACAACTGATAGTGGTTGGTTATAAAACTATCATGCACTAAATGTGCTTCTCAGCAGCAAATAATTTCTGACCTAGATTAGTCAGCACTTATATTAAGTATAGTACTACAGTCTGTAATGAATGTATACATGATTTATCACATACCTGTTGACCAATCAGAATTCAAGATTTGCAGTGGATTATAAGCCATAATTCACACTTGGTGAGACAAAAAAAGTCATATAATTTGCATAAAGCAAAGTACACAAAACTCTGCAACCTTTTAGCAACAGATATGGCAGTGAAAAACAGCATGCATTTAGAAATTGGTTAAAATTGTCTTTTTTTTCAGATAACTCACTGATCCTGTGGAATTACAACAAGCTTGGATTTTGTTGTCGTTGAAAAAAATGACTTTTAGTTTTTATAATTTTTGAAGCAAGAGAGTGTTTTCGGTGATCACCGAGTAGAGAATGTTCTCACACATACACTGCGACCTGTCATCCAAACCATTCTTATAAAGTCCCATACAAGTCAGGGTTCATCAGCTTCAAAGTTATGTCATAATGTTTGTTTAGCAAACACAACTCAAAAAGGACACCACAAATCCAACAGTGGCACCTGGCAGTGGTGTTGAAAATTGATCACTAGATTTGTTCCTGAAAATGGTGCAAAGATTTTCCAGTCGTATTTCATTAAGATAAATAAATATATGATCGTCCTTGGTATGGTTAAATATCATGGTCACCCTGTTGCCCAGCAATGTTACTGATCACATAGGAACTACTTGAATGAAAAGAATACATGAACACAAGTGTGCTGCATAATCAGTTGCACTTGATGATTATTTTTTTGCAATATGTTGCTAATATTTCTTTCTCAACCAATCACACTGTGTGATAAATCAGATAATGAACTTGAATGATTATATGCATCAATCACTTGAGGGCTTTGCACTCTTCATTTTATGACACAAACTGTGTGTGTCTGTGTGTAATTGTCTAATCAGCTATTTTATTGTATTACACTGTAGAATCCTTAACAAGAAAGAAGAGTTTGGATGGATTGTTGAAGGTCCTAGTATAGGGGAACTGGTAGGTCATCAATGCTGTCATGTGTAACATGTATGATACTGTGTTTTTATTGATAATACTATTCTTGTAGAAATAATCCAGCAGTCAGTAAAAATGACAGCCTACTTTAAATAAGATACTAGCTATTTTTATAAGAAATTAAATATATATATATATATATATATATATATATATATATATATATATATATATATATATATATATATATATATATATATATATATATATATATAGATATAATTGTAAATGTAAGCAGACAGTGGATTTCTATTTAAATTCCTCTTCCTTGTACTACTTTGAAAACAAACTGCCTACTAGTAGAAAACGAAGCAATAATCTATCTATAACCTTACCTTTCCAGATAAGTGGAATTAATCAAGAACCAGAGATGCAAGACTACCCAGTTTTGCCTTCACCACCTCCGCCACATTCTGATGATCTCAGCCTGCCTAACTTAGATGAGGATGATGGCACTTCAGGGTACTTGGCCCTGCCAAGCACATCCAGTAAGCCAGGACCATTATCTGCCATAGAAGAGATGTCTGAAGAACATCGATCAGTGCACAGTGGTTTCAGTAGAGACAGCAGTAGGAAAAGCGCCAGTTCTGGTAAAAGTAGGCAGTCTTCCGGAAAGAGGTTAGTGACTCAAATTATTATTATCATGAATGAGCCATTCAAGTTTATACATGTCCTCAGTGTTAATTAAATAGAGTTTTTAGCGTACTAGAGTTAATTAAATAGAGTTTTTAGAGTGACGTACTCCATGATTAATACCGATAGATCGTTATCCAACCTGAGGTTTGAACACAAAAAAGGGGTTGACTCACACCATGGCTGAGTGTGACACAGGGACCACAACGGTAATAAATTTAGGCCACTGATCAATATTCGTTCATTGACTGTCGTGGGAAGTGTTAACACTAGGATAATGCATTATATTGCCATAATGCAATTATGATGGGAAGAGTTTATTCACAACATCACCTCTCCTATCCTTTCCTAAATCTAACCAGGTTTTCAAGGAAATTTTGACCAATGTTCAATTACTGATTATAAACTTACATACAATCAATACTATAATATTCATAGTTGTAAATTGTTGAAAAACGAAGTTTTCGATCTGTGAAATATGCAGGTTTATGGGATATCTCATTGGAGGTGCTGCCTATACTCTGATTAGTGTATAGTCAAAATGTTTAACTGAACAAACAATAATAATCATAGTTGTTTTAAAACATTGAACTTATATGTATGTAAGTAATCAAGTTAGCAAATAATATATTTTCTGAATTATTGACTCATATACATTGTAATTACACCCATCTTAGTGTACGAATGTGTGGTACACTTTGTGTAGTGTGTTTCAACATTTTAAAGTTCACTAGTCCACTATCTTGTACACTGTTTGCATTTTCAAATACAGGGCCTCCCTGTCTAGAACACCAACCACAACTTTCATCATATTTTACAGCACTTGATTTGGATACACGCTAAATTGTGTCTAATCCATGCCTGGTGGTAGTGTATTCACTGTGTCTGATACATGTTGCTATTAATTTGATTCTTGTTTAATTGTAGGAGATTAAAGTCAGCAAGTAGCATATCTAGTGATGTAGCTCCTAGACCGCCACCCAAACCATTACCACTCACTATGAACGAAATTTTAGATGACTGTGTTATAAAAGTAAGTCACAAAACAATTATTTGCATATGTAGTAAATTAATAAAAGCTATGATAAATAACATTTTTGGTATTGTGTTCTTGATTAACTACATGTATATTCAAAATAGTATAAAGCATGAAGCTATTTTGAATAGTTACTGAGGACAATTAATACCAACTTTATATTAATACCATTTATTATATATTTGTTTCGAGCATTTATCAATTCTAATTAGTCGTGCATGCACTTGAAGGACCTCTAACAATGTTGTACACAGCTCACATATGTATCTATACTATTTTAGAAGCATCTACACCATTTCTATATTATTTCTATAAGTTGTTGTATATTGGTTTGTGTTCTTGAACTAGATATTACGCTTCACATGTTATAACATTATAATGAAGTTGGATATGGTGTCATTTCGTCATTATTGTTTAATATGTTTCATACTATTATCATTTCATTTGTCAGTATCAATATGCAGTTCACGTTTTCAGCTTGATTTAGGACGCATTCATTTTGATATTCAGTGATATTAAATGTTATATTTCATTCAACCACAGGAAGCCAAGTGCCTTAGTACATTATGGACGAATTACTCAAAAGATGCAACGAAAATTGCTACTTAATTTATTCATCAAGCTGCCATGGATTTGGGAGTTTGTTTGCTATGTACCTCTCTTCCATGGAGATAATGTCATAGTGATTATTGGTAATGTGCAGTGTTTGTGTGCCACCCTGGAATTCGTTAAATTAACAAACAAACAAATCATGATGTCGATCTTAATCTTCCAATAAGAGAAGCTGTAAGTTATGTGTCTGGTTGATATTCTGTTTGATGACTGATCTATAGTTTGTATAACTTCCATACATATGGACCTCTGAATGGAACTGCTAATGTATAAAGTTATGATATTATGGAAAATGTCTGCTATTCGAGACGAGAATTAAAATGAGTTTTAATTAATCTGCAAGGATGACATCGACTTTGATACGAAATGTACAGTGTCGGAATCATTGTTATCTGAGACAAAATGTGTATTATTTGTATGGAAAGTATGGAAGCATGGAGCAAGTTTATGTTGATAGATATAATTGTTATTATTTATTATGTTACTTGCACAATCATAGTTACCTTAGACGTAGCTAAAACTCACGGTAATCGGATACAGACACCAGGTGTGTAAATGTCACTTTAACCGACTTGAAAATGTATGATATAACCCACATAAATATATAAAATCTAAGTATATGCACATTACAGTGTTTTCAAAACATTTACTAGATTGTGTTGCTATTTAACATGAAAACTCTGATATTTAAACGTTGAGAACAATTTCACTCGTAATTATGTCAGTCAGCTGGTGTGATTTTCTGTATTAATAATTAAATCGATATTTTTAAACTGCGTTTCCAGGTAATATTTCTACTGTATAGTACTAATGTGTTTTTTAATAAAACAAATTATATTTTTCTAACCTGTCTTTTATAGTATTTCTATGTTCAATTTACGTGAAAACATCGACTGCGCACATAGTAATATGCATGACGAAATAGTATCTGCCATATGGCATTTGTCAAATAAAAACAATTATGCTAACATAGTTACTCAGCAACACAGAGTATATATGAATTTGTTATACAAAGTAGGAATGAGACATGTCAGATAATGGCATGACATGATGTACAATGACGCGATTTCCTGTTTTCCTTCACTTTATTTATCTTGACAGCTTTGAATGTGTCAATTAAAAATAGATGCCTTGTGATTTTGTGCATTTATAGGACATTAGTTAAACATGCAAACATGCTCAAACCACAATGAAAAGTAAACAATGTCTCAAGTCTATGTCAGACATACCAAGACAAAAATGTTATCCAATAATACATGTTATCAGGCTATTTCAAAAAATTCTCATTATACATCATTTCCAAGAACTCAGATAATATTCAAAGCCTAACGTTTATGCATTCAATAAAGTTATATACATCACCGATTACAAATACATATTTCATTTTAACAGTTCATGCGCTTAGATAAATGACAAATGTAAGTATAAGCAAGCTAGGTAATATTATAATAACCCAGCACACAGTATTAAAATGATCTGTTCAGGTTTAGAGCACAAACCCTTAAAAGTCGTAGTAATAGTTAGTATTATTTCGCAAATGCCTGCAAAGGGTCAAACTTGCTTTCCAAAGTATACATCAGTCCCTGTTTAAAACGAAATAATTTCCTCTATCTGTTTACATCTGCACTAGTAGTAACCCGGACATGCCTGAACTGATCACATTAAAACCTCACACATACATCACAAATCCTGGGATCCCTTTGCACATCCGTACATTTCAAGATACAAATGGCGGCCATTTCCGTCATTAAAATTTACAGATTTTGCTCAAACTTTGCAAATGTAATCTTGTTTACTTTGCACTGTTTTAAACAACACTTAACCTTACAGAAGCAATGTTTTGTGACAATGTGTCTGGACGAACATATTTGAAAAGAACATTCATTTTTTATTTATTTATTTGAAGTTTAATATAGTCCTCCAACACCGTTATAACGTTGTTCAATCCATATTAATCGTAGATTCTAGGGTGACAGGAACTCTGGGCATCCATAACCCACCCATAAAAGATTCATGTAAAAAGTAAAATGGGTGTACAGTGATTTGGACAAAATAGTATCCACTTTCGGTTGGCATGGGACTGTCAGAAAGTGGTTGGTGTGAGGAAATACTGGCGGCATACCCATCTAATGTGTCCAGTGTAGTTATGAAAGTACAAAAATACAAACAAATGATACTGACTTTTAACGGACCTTTCAGTACAGTTTAATAAAACAATTACACAGCTTTCCGACAGTTTCAAGAAAGATTTATCATCAAACCATAAGCACAATACAGAAAATTTAAGATACTTGCATGAATCGCATTCTAATTTAGTAAAGTAAATGTATTAGCTCGCACTACTCCAACGTTTCACCGTTCTTAAATTTAAGTTTTAAGTCATTATTGCACACACAGCACAAACAAGTGCAAATCAATATAAATTTGCGCCAAAAGAAATTCTCACTGCCTCTAGGTTCAGTGACATTGTGACATGTATCTCGCACACATTATGTGTTCAAGCAGGGTTTTCAATTCCACTACGTGTAATGATATATGAATCGAACCGGCGTTGTTTTCATCTCCAGGCGTTTACACAATGACCATAGGTCAAGAGATCAATGCTGTTATGAACTACTATAAAACCTACAACAGCTAATCTATACTATGGTGCTTCCCATGCTGATGCCATTCACAACATGAATCGACCTCAACGCATGATAGACAGGCTGAGTTTTTCACATTGCTTTAAATTAACCAATCATCTGATTTTCATTACGAGTTAAAGGGTGGTGGTCGTCTCGTCGTGTTGATAAACATTGATTTTCCCCGAATTCAATGCGTTCTTCTAATAATCCAGAGTACGAGTTTCGACCTGGGCGCGGCTTGCACTAATTACTGCCGGTGACGCATTCGATACCTTCCAATCACTAACAAAAAATAGTTAAAGCTTCTTGGTCTGCACAACAGTTTGTTTATATAAGAACCTTACCTCAATCGCACATGCGTGCCGCGACGATCAACACACCGCAAAAATGAGACACTAATTGACTAAGCCAGACACGCACATAATAAAAACAAAATAAAAACAAAACAAAAACACGACACTATTCGCCTTCGTCAGTCCGTCCGTCCGGAGTGGTTTCTCGGAAATGGCTAGACCGATTTTTATTTGAAACTTCGTACAAAGACATATAAGTCAACAATACATGTGCACGTCAATTTATTTTCCGATTCGATCAAATATGGCCGACTGGCGGCCATTTTAATGCGAAAATTCAGTCCTTGTGTGTCCATCGTCTTTTCTCGGAGATGGCTTGACCGATTTTGTTGAGACTTGTTACAAAGACAAGGGGATCACCCATACAGAAGCACATTGTTTTACATTTTTGAAATGATCAAATATGGCCGATTGGCAGCCATTTAGATTGTTAATCATGGCTTTTTTGTCTGTTCATTGATATTTCTCAGAGATGCCTTGGCTGATTTCAATGATACTAGGTACAAAGACACAGTGAGGAGGTATACATATTCACATGTATTATGACCTTATTTCCTGATTTGATCAAATATGGCTGCCTGGCGACCATTTTGAATGTCAAAATCCTGTAAAATCCAGTTTTTTGGGTGTGTCCATCATCATTTCTCGGATATGCCTGGACCGATTTTGCTGAGACTTGGTACAAAGACAGAGTGACCAGATGCACATTGATTTTTTCAAGGAATCAATTAATGAGCTCATTTGCATATTTAATTAATAATTTGTTCTTGTTAATATCTTGTGAACTAATAGTCCAAATCAGACCAAACTTGGTAGAGAGTTGATTTGTCAATATAAGATATATGCTATGCAATATTGAGTTTCAATTTAATTAACGAGCTCATTTGCATATTTAATTAATTTTGAATTTTTCTCAATAGCGTGTGAACTAATTGTCCGAATGAGACCAAACTTGGTATAGACTTACTGAATCTGTCAATATAAGATATGTGCTGTGCAATATTGACTTTCAACTTAATTAATGAGCTAATTTGAATATTTAATTAATTTAAATTTTTGTTGATATCTTGTGAATAGTTCATGTATTTGCTATTTAATAATGACTCAATTGAATTTCCATATTCAATTAATTGTGAATTTTTGTTAAAATTAATGCAAATTATACCAAATTTAATAGAGATGTCATAGCTTTTATCTTTGAGTAACATACTTTTGATTTTCAACTTAATCTTCCTACCCGATTTTATACATATACATTCAAAGTTTATAATTCATAGCCAACTATAAACACACCTGACAAGTGGGGGCTGTGTCATCTTCAGATGACTTGTTTTTATACCAATTTAACATACTGGCAACATCTGTAATACATGTTCCACCGCTTTCTGACTGTAATTTATTGAATATAATTATGTTGTATTTGTATGGTATTAATGATCTAACTTTTCTGATGCAACTTTCGATTATCGATATATGAATGGGACATTCTTTTTACTTTTCAGTTCCCACCATCAATGAATGAACTATTTTATTTGAAGTTGTGTGTAAGTAGGAGCTATTACCTCAGTTAAACTTTCATAATGATTGGGCAAAGGTCGAATAACATTACCATCACCATTCGTAATGTAATCGTAAGTGTGCATGTTATCATTGTCTTCATTGTCTGTCGTATCACTTCTCGTATTATTCCCGAATTCACTTATCGGATCAACAACTTCTAATTGAAAGTCAGTACCTCTATTTAGACCACAACGTGCGTCACGCCTTGCCTTCAATCGCCGATAGTATAACACAGCAACAACAGCAATCGGGGGAATAAGTACGATTAATACGACCAACGAGCAGATAATTGGAATAATCATCAAAGTATCAATGGTTACAGTGCTTTTAGCTTTAGTGAAATAGTCAGACTGCAATTTTAGCTCAGTTGACGTTCTGTAAGTGTGTTTCTCTGTCGTGGGGATGGAATGGTATTTGCTCAAGTAAGACGGATTGGCTGAAATGGCTGCCGAAGCTGTACGAATCGAAGGAAAATGCTCGCGTGTTATGTCATTCGTATTCATTACATACACTGATCTCGGCGACACAGTAAAAACGCCTGATTGGTTCGTAATAGTCTCTGTAGTACTGTGTGTTGGTGTGGGGCTCATGCGGTTGTCAGTGGTGTCATCGTCTTGAGTAGAAGAGTGCGATGCAGGTGATATTTCAGTAGTGGATCGCCCTCTCGTTGTTATGAAAGGCGAGATTGTATCAGTCAAGTTCGAAGAAACGATAAGCCGCGTTGAGTATGAGGGCGTTGGTCTGATAATAAGATTCACAATTAAATCAACGCCCG